GCGCGGCCAGTAGCCCGGCCTTAAAGGCCTCCACTGTCTGGGCTTTTACTAACTGGCCCGGCAGCTTATTCCACTCATTAATTGTTCTTGGAAAAAAAGAAAATCTAAAACAGTCTGTTTTGGATTTACATACCACCCGAGTGGGCGTTGACCTAAATGCAGAATGGCACGTGCCAAAGGTCAACATTCCTTCGAGTGGGCGTTGACCTCTTGTGCAACAAAGTACTAGTATTACGCAAGATGCCAGGTTTGTTTTTTTTCTTCATGACGATCGATCTACAAACACTGTATTACCTCTCGTCCTGTTGTTTCTGGCGGGCGTCTTGCTGGTCTATCGAAGGGGACGTCGGCTGAACCTTCCCCCGGGACCCCGGGGGCTTCCTGTCGTGGGGAACCTTCTCAGTTTGCGTCCCAGTAAACTGTTGTCACACGAACGCACATGTGTGTGTGTGTGTATGTGTGATTGTGTGTGTGTGTGCCAATAAATTTGTGTGTGATAGATTTGTGTGTGTGTGAGTATGTGTGTATCACGGTGTATCAGTGTACCACTGCACGAAAACTTAGCCCAAAAGCCGTAAATACCAGTAACGTTAAGTAATGTTTACTTTGTCAAGTTCTAATAAACACTTCTGAACTTTACAATGGCAGAAAAAAGTCAAGTGCGCCGATTCCTGACTTAACAAGGGTTGTAAATGAAATAACTGCACTCGGACCATTATTTACAACCATCGTAAAGCCAGATACTGTATACAAAGTAAACATTCCTGAGTTTACTACCTTTGGTAAATTCAACTTTTCGCAGTGCAACTTGTGTGTGTGTGTGTGTGTGTGTGTGTTTATGTGTATGTATGTATGTATGTTTGTGTGTGTCACGTGTGTGTGTGTGAGAGAGACGGAGTACGTATGTGTGTGCAGAGAGTGCGTGTATCACGGTGTGTGTGTGTGTGTGTGTATGTGTCGGTGGCTGCACGTGCCTCGTGTGTGTGCGTGTGACTGTCGCGGCCATTTGTGTGTATCACGGTGTGTGTGTGTGTGTGTGTGTGTGTGTGTGTGTGTGTGTGTGTGTGTGTGTGTGTGTGTGCATGCATGTGGGACATTTCAGGCATGAAACAGCAATACCGTCCCCATGTTCAACAGAAACCAACTCTTGCCTTGTCATTTTATCCAGACATAAGGCCATCCACGACGCTCTGGTGAAACAGCCGGAGATATTCTCAGACAGACCGCTGAGGACCCTCAAACGCGACCCTGGTGCGCCGTGTGTCAAATCCATACTAGTAACGTTAAAGCCTCTACCAGGCTTCGGGAGGAGGCTAGAAAGAGTAGAAATCGGTCAAATAAAGAGATAACATGCCAGGGGAGTTTGGCTGCTGGAGAGAACAGTTTGCCGCTCCCTCTCCCCAGACGTATACTCTACACATGGGCCCGGCTCCGTGGTTGGTTTATTGCTTAATGATCTTTTGCGCTGAGTTAGTTCTTTTGTTAGAATAATAAGGGGATTACTTTCATACCGTTTGACTATCGTAGTGACTACGCCTAGGCTTCGGGAGTGGCAAACTGTTCTCTCCAGCAGCCAAACTCCCCTCCCTCGCTATCTCTCTATTTGGCCGATTTCTACTCTTTCCAGCCGCCTCCCGAAGCCTGGTAGAGGCTATAGAATGTCTGGAAATTCTCGACATGGTTCGATCATTTTTCTCAGGGGCAATTGAGCATCTCTCAAACTCCAGCCGTTTGATTACAAGACACGATTATGGGCATATACAACAGAAATTCTACATTCTAAAAAAGCATGGTTATTCACATTTATCCGAAATATGTTGCTTTTCCTACCCCGTTGCTATCATATATTCTTATTACTTTAGTTACCGGTTGTGTTTCATCATTTAGAATATTCAGCATATAATACATAGATTTTGTGTACTAAACTACACGTTGAAAAGTAAGTGAAAATTGGCAACTCTGGCTAACATGAAAGTATATGTTCTTGTGCACCGCAGGTTTGGTGATAGCTCCATACGGAGAACGTTGGGCAGAGCGACGTCGGTTCGCCCTGTCTGCCATCCGACAGCTCGGCATGGGAAGGCGCAGCGCCGCAGCGCCGAGGGAAGGATTCTGGAAGAGACGGCAGCTCTGTGCGCTGCTATACGGTCTCTAGACGGGGCACCAGCCAACATATCCCATCTCCTAGGTAACGCTGTATCAAACATCATCTGTTCTATGTCGTTTGGAAACCGCTTCCAGTATGATGACGAAGAGTTTAAGTGTTTGTCTCACGCGTTTTCGTACCTCGTTAGCGTGCGTAACAGAATCACGGGCATGCTGCATCAGTTCGTAAGGAAGCTGCCCATAATGCGTAACTGGCGCGGTTACGGCATACGAATGAACGACTACATCATAGACTACATCATGAAACGCGCGGAGGAACACAAGGCGAGTTTCGACAGGTCGGACATCAGAGACATAATCGACGTCTACTTGAGCGAAGATAAAGGCAGCGGTGTCAACGAAGAGGCGCTGGGAACTATCATTAGAGATCTCTTCATCGCCGGCTCTGAAACAACGGCGACGACGTTAAAGTGGGGGCTGCTCTACACTTCCCTGAACCCAGACGTGCAGACCAAGGTGCAAGAAGAAATTGACCGCGAGTTCCCGTCTGGAGGAGTCCCACCATGGTCAGAGCGCGGACGGCTGCCCTACACCGAGGCAACCATCATGGAAATCCAGCGGATCCGTGCGATCGTTCCTCTGAGCGTTTTCCACGGCACCAGTGCTGACACAACCCTGTACGGATACGACATCCCGGCCGGTTCGTACATCATCCCGAGTCTCTGGTCCGCCATGATGGATCCAGAGGTCACGCCGGAACCGGAGAAGTTCCGACCTGAAAGGTTCCTGGATGAAGAAGGGAAGGTGGTCAAACCGGAATGGTTTTTACCTTTTTCCGCAGGTACAGTATACATTTTTTTCATTTTTACCTTCACAGACGGAAAACATTGTTTTATTTAGTTTCTTTTTCTTCCTCTTTTTCTCCTTCCAAACAAGTAAAGTCAATTAGACCAGACGTCTGTCACCATGGTAACGGGTGCTGTGGCAGACATGCAGAGGTGTTAGGTTACATTATGTAGCAGGACAGATAGAGCTTGATGGAGTAGTCACTATCTATTATATTTGCCCATATGGGGGTGTTTGAGTAAAAAATACAAAAAGAGCAGTAGTTTGTTATACATGTCTTATACCATATGAATGTAAATGTTATCTTTCTAGTTTTCTTTTTATTTGCTAAAAATATCAAAGAAAGTGGAGGGGGGATTTTCAATTCATGCCTTTGTTTCTCTGTTATTCCCCGTATCTGTGTAGGTCGGAGACGGTGTTTGGGAGAGCAGCTTGCCAAAATGGAACTGTTTCTCTTCTACACCAGCCTGCTGCAGCAGTTCACCTTCAAACTGCCAGACGGCGCACCTACACCACCCATGGACGGCGCTCTTGGATTTGTCTTGTGCCCTGCACCGTATGACATATGCGCCGTTCCCAGACACACTTCTTAAAGGTATTCAGTGCAGTTTTTAGGGCTTGGATACCAGATTTTTTAAAGTCAACTTTCTAGTCGTTTATCCACATACTAAGTTGAAACAACACTGCCCCAATGTATATCGACATTCCTGGAGCAAAATTGCCCAAAACTCTCCCCCCCCCCCCAAAAAAAAGAAAACGGAACTGGAAGGACCTTTCTAATTTTTAGAGTACTATCCAGAAAGTAAAGGATCTTGGGGCTTCTTTCTGTACTTTTAAATACCCAAAGTTAATGATAATACATTACTGATTGAAATGTGCTAATGCGAAGCAGTATGTGTCCATAACTATACTGTGTACTATTATGAAATGCAGTATTGTTAAGTAATTGATAAGGTATACCTGGATTTACATTTTATTTACTTACTTAATATGAAAATGAAGAAATGTCCTCTCAGAGGAATAGCCATTTGTATAGGTTCGTTTTGATTCTTGGCATTACACGAAATATTGATCAAACATATGCTATTGTAGGAAACCGGTTCTGGTAGCTTATGTCATGTAATTATGTACTTTATTCAATATTTTAAACATTAACCATTGCAATAAATTCATAAAGATAGTATTGCATTTTAGTTAATGTATATATACAATGCATGTATAAACAAGAAAGTGATAAAAATTGCTATTGTGATCATATACGTGCTTTAACCGTTGGATTATAGGGTAGTACTAAACTTGCTTGCCAAGGAAATTGTACAACTGACCAGATGACGGAGATTCGTAACAAGGGCAGTATCTCAGTGTAAAAACAACAGTTCTCTGAAGGCACCCAGTGACGTGCTGCACAGAATCGACTCAAATTGTGAACTTTGATTTTACTTTGGCTTGATGGATTCGGCTTTCATTTTTATAGCTTTTAAGATCTTCATTTGCATTGGTATCTGTACATTTTACTTTCAACGTTGCAAGTACGAGGGGTGATCCAAAAGTTCTCGGCCTCACCTAGAAAATACAGGTCAAACGCGTATTCTTTGGTATAACTGTATACTATGACGTCTTACATCATTGCACACAAAAATGCAAATTTTTATATTCATTAATTAGCACGTGACGCCCCGTGAAAGTGGGGTGGGTGAGGGCAAAATCACAAAATGGCCGCAGCAGAAGCGTGTGCTGTGATCAAGTATATCGATAAAAAGCTATGTCTCCTAAGGAAATCCATGAAGACATGATCAAGACACTTGGTGATGACTCCCCTTCTTATTCAACTATAAAGAAGTGGGTTGCTAGCTCTAAGCGCGTCAAGGAGAGCAAAAAAGATGAACATAAGTCAGGATGCCACAAATCAGCACCACGGACAATCCAGTTGAGGCCATCCATCACATGGTAGTGAATGACAGATGTGAGACAATCCAACATGTAGCAGAGTCTTTGGCCTGTGATGTGGCTCAGTTCACAATGTTTTATCATACATCCTGGGGATAAACAAACTGTCTGTATGATGGGTGCCTCAAATGTTTTCTGAACATCACAAGTTAAACAGGCTTGACATTTCAAGGAACGAATTCTGTTGAATCCAGGCATTTCCTCAAAACATTTGTCACCCAAAATTGAGACTTGGGTTCACCACTTTCAATCCGAATCAAAACAGCAGAGGAACCAATAGATGCAGAACGGTTCTCAGTCCGACAAGAATTTCCGGCAAGTTTCATCAAGTTGACAAGCTTTTGGCCTCCCAGCGAGGGAGCAATCATGATTAACTAGCTGTAAGGAGGCAAAGCATCAATGGGGGATACTATGCAACAGAATTGCGACAGTTGAGTAATTCAGCAGTAGCGCAATCAAACAGAAAAGGAGAGAAAAGGTCTGAGCTGGCCTGCTGACAATGCACCTGTCCACACAGCACAGGGGTCAGTGGCAGCAGCAAACGAATTTGGCTTTGAAGTCTTTCCCCACCCTTCCACTTCACCTGGCCTAGCACCCTCGGACTTCTACCTGTTTCCTAAACTAAAGTTCCTCTTACGTGGTCAACGTTTTGATGGTAATGATGACGTCATCGATGCGGTCGAGGCCAATTTAAGGGCTCAAGATGCAAGCTTCTTCTATCCGGGAAAAGGAAAGATGCAACCGCGCTGGACCAAGTGCATTGAAGTTAGAGGGGACTATGTTGAAAAATAGTGTAAGGAATTTTTTTCTGCCATGACGTTTTCTAGGGGAGGCCGAGAACTTTTGGATCACCCCTCGTATAACGGTGGTGTTAGGGCTCTGGGCATTTTGGCCTAGCGGCCTAACCAGACTGTACTAAAACGCCACCCAACAGTTTTCGCTCGAATTGCACGTGTCAGAGGTCACACACCTAGAGACTTATGTTACGTCCTTGGTCCAGCGTCCAGCGTGAACAATAGACTTAAACAACATCAGCAACATAATACCGTCCGTGGGCGCTGACCTTCTGTGCAACAAAGAATTACGCAGTATGGCGGATTTGTTTTCCTTCGTGACGATGGATCTGCAAACAGTCTTAGTTCTCGTCCTGTTGTTTCTGGCGGTCTTCTTGCTGGTCTATCGGAGGGGACGTCGGCTGAACCTCCCCCCGGGACCCCGGGGGCTTCCTGTCGTGGGGAACCTTCTCAGTTTGCTTCCCAGCAAACTGCTGTCCAACATGGCGGCCTGGCGTCAGCAGTACGGGGATGTGTACAGTGTGAGGTTCATGAATAGGGTCATTGTTGTGCTATGCGGGTGAGTAGGACATGTCTCGTGTGTGTGTGTGTGTGTGTGTGTGTGTGTGTGTGTGTGCGTGTGTGTGTGTGTGTGTGTGTGTGTGTGTGTGTGTGTGTGTGTGTGT